TTGACGAAATTTTTTTGAATTTTGTAAAATATTTTTTATTTGTTTTAAACTCAAACGCAAATTATACATTAGTGGGTACGTATGGTTTTAAAAATCCAAATGACGATGTACCTATAGTCAAAGCGTAGAGGACGTGATCAAGCATTTGCATTTTTTTTTCTTCACTTTTTTCTCACTTGTAAATGAATTATTATGAATTTTTTTAATGTGTTTTTGATATTTTGTAGGAAAAATAAAAATATCACATGGCCTTATCAGGTGCTGCCACATGGGTTGTGTAAGAGTTTGGACTAACCAAAAGGCGCCACCTGTCTGGGTAGTGAGAAATTCTGGTACTACCTTCATTGAAGTGGAACTAGCATTTTTTGGATGATCACTCGTGGCAAGTTATGAAATAGTACCTTAAACCTTAATGATGGCCCATAAGTTGCCACGTGGTAGAGAATTAGATATTCAGAAAGAGATGTGACGATTGGGTATTAGTGGAGACAGAGATCGAGTGGTGGTGACTGATACGTTGTGAACTGGGGAAGGGCAGTAGACAAAGAGTTTTGTTGTAGTCGATGACAAGATGTGAGTAGTGAGAAGATTGTTGCCAGTGAAATTGGGTGGTCAGGAGGGGGTAGGGGAGAAGGAAAGAGGGAGGGAGAATGGAGACGAGGGAGGATGGGGATGCATGTGAAAAGGCTAGAAGTTAATATTTTTGGAATACTTAATTTTAATTATAGAATTAAAATGATTGATTAATTAAGTGATGTGATATGTAAATATCAGTTGTTACATAGTGTAACATCCAACATCGACCAACGGAGAAGAGGTGATGTGTCTTATATGTATATGCCCACCTCCATATAACACGAGGCCTTTTGGGAACTCATTGGCTTCGGATTCAATCGGAACTCCGAAGTTAAGCGAGTTCAGGCGAGAGCATTCCCAGGATGGGTAACCTACTGGGAAGTTCTTGTGCGAGTTCCCAGAAACAAAACTATGAGGGCGTGGCCGGGGCCCAAAGCGGACAATATCATGCTATGATGGAGTCGAAACTGGGATATGACAATTTGGTATCAGAGCCACTCTGATGTGTGGTGCCAGTGTGCCAACAAGGACGTTTGGCCCCTAAGAGGGGGGTGGATTGTAACATCCCACATCGACCAACGAAGAGGGGGTGATATGCCTTATATGTACATGGCCAGCTTCATATAGCACGAGGCATTTTGAGAACTCACTGGCTTGGCTTCAGATTCCATCGGAACTCTGAAGTTAAGCGAGTTCGGGCGAGAGCATTCCCAGGATGGGTGACCCACTAGGAAGTTCTCGTGTGAGTTCCTAGAAACAAAACCGTACGGGCATGACTAGGGCCCAAAGCGGACAATATCGTGCTACGACAGAGTTAAGATTAGGATGTGACACATAGCGTCTCTAAATGAGATGTCAAAATCCTAGGTGAAATGCCATATTTGAAATAAAAATTCTTTGTAATTGAAGTGTTATTTACTGATTGAATTTAAAGACTTTGTAATTAAGAGTCAAATTTAACATCAATGCCAACATTATTTTTAATTCATTTGAATGGTGGGTCCCTTATTTCAACCAATAAAAATTTTATTTCAACATTTTTTAATAGCTACAATAATTTAAAGCTTTATTTTAATAAGAAAATAACATTTGACAATTCGGTTGATGACACACCCTAACCCAGAATGTCCACTTGAACTTCGAATTGAGCTGCGCTAGCTGACCCCAGGAAGGTGACGAAACCATAAAGTGTAGTGATGTGGAAAAAATGTGAATAAATTTAAACCTAAAAGTGCCTAAATATAATAAGTGCGCATGTGAGTGGGATTGAACTCAATTCACATGTGATGCAGAGCATAAGTAAAGTACAATAGAGGTAGGATAAGAATTATACCATCGAGGTAATCACCTATATCAAGATTTGCCAAAAATCCTCGTCAACACGAAAGCTCATCTACCCAAACCTAGAGGGGTGAAAAATAAAGATGAGTGAGCCTAAAAATAAAGTCTTGTAAAAACCTTTTCAAAAACTTAATAACCACTCACCATAAAACAAGTATGGTTTTCAAACTATACATGCTATGTATAGTATGAAAATACTTAACGTAGCCTACAATATCTCACGAAATCAATATGTCACAATATTTCGTAAATAAACATCTAACGTCTGCTAATCATATATTCTCGCATGAACAAACATATTATATCAAGTGCTCATCGACATATGCTGACACACGAGTTCATGCAGAGGTATTCTGACATGAACAAAATTAGGTGTAATAATGATTTACGTTTTAGTATTACAATCACATGAAGACTGGCGTTATGCGCATCACATATGAGTCCTAATTGCCTTTCGCAATCTAAGACAGGATTGGCACCTACAATGGATCCAAAGTGAGCGTACAGTGCGATGTGAACATACATGTGAAGACTGGCCTTGGCCCGGGCTACTACTACCACCAGTGTAGCACACGATGAGCATATAACGTAAATATAAATATGCATTGTAAATCGATAATTCTATTCGTCACAATACTACTCATGGTTGTAAATATGACTAAGGCATTCCATAGGATTTATAATGATCTCATAATTCTCATCATTACGACATTTCCTATAATGTTAATTTAATTATGGCCACGTAGAAAATGCATCGTTAATATATGTATGGAAACTCAAATAATATATATACTATATAAAAGAAAAGACCCACTCATAGATACTTGTGAAGTTGTAGCCTTTCGAACGAAGAAAGCCAGAGTCTCCAATTGTAATTACACCTAAGCGTAATATTGGGATCCGTTGGTAAAACTCAACTAAAATGATGAAATTTGGGAGTGCAGATTTGGAATCAATGTGTTAAAATACGTTAAGAAGGGTCCTAGATAATTTTCGTAAAAAGTCAATCAAGCCGTCTCAGCGGTCAACTAAGTTAAAAATTTGGAATTTCACTAAATGGATGTCAAAAACGGACTTAGGGCGTCGAATTAGCCAAGCAGGGTTTTTGAAAAAAATCCAAAAAAGTCAACACAAGGAATATTTTGAGCCCATTTGAAAATGGGCCGAGCTGGAACAATGAGCCAAAGGTTTGGGCCGGGTTTAGGCTTAGGCCCTTTTTTTTTTTTTTTTTTTTTCTGGTTGACCCATTTGGGCTTACGGGTTGTACCCGCCAGACCCAACGAAGAAGAAGGCTAGATATCGTAGGATTTGGCTGGGAAACTTCCCGAACTCCGTTAGGGGTCTAAAACTCAACCATTTTTAATGATTCAAGAACCAAAATGAAATTATGGATGCCAGGATTAAGAATGTACCATCGTGGTCTCCTGCCATTGCTGGAGTTGGCCAAAAATGGCCTACAAAAATCTCGAGCTCCGTCGGAATCTGGGAAAACAACTTCCTCGAGTTATCTCAGTATTAATTCATTGTCAAAACACACAGAGAACTCAGAAATCATACTAAAAAGTCAATAAAAAGGGATTTTGAGCGTTCTCGATCCTTACTCAAGTCGGAATAACATCATGAACTAGTCGAACATCCCGTTTGATGTCAGAGCTCATCGATTCGAGGGTTTCCACGGTTTTGTCCTCAATTATAATTTCGGGGAGAGAGATAGAACGAGGTGGTGGGTTGGGTGTGGTGGCAATGCACCTGTAGTGGCAAGGCAAGGTGCTTTTTGGGTCTCGATGCCAGTGGTTGCTGAGGGAGAAAGTGTTTAGAGTGAGAGAGAGATAGGATAGACGTGAGAGGTGAGAGAGACAAAGTGAGGTGGCAGCAAGGGAGAGGTCCAATAGATCTGAAAGGGGACATGACAACAACAGAAGAGTGGGGTGTGGGTCCCACTTTGCTCACACTCCAATCCCATAAAAGATAAAACCAAAAAATATCTCTCGCAACATGAAATTACTGAAATGCCCATCACATTCGTGGCTTTGTAGAATTTTTGTCGTAATTATGAATTCGATTTCGGTTATGCCTACGTGTTTGTAACGTTGAGTACTACACAAATATGCTAAAATAGTAGCTTACACGTGTCACAAAATGACGGTCAATGAAAGTCAACAATCTCGTCTCTAGGGCATTTTTGTCAATTCACTCTTTTAAAAATTAATAAAATCATAAAATTAGGGACGGGTCATTATAGTTGAAGAAGTACAAAATTTGACATAAGAATTCAGATTGCCATATGAACCATCAATTGTAATTTGACTCTTATAAGTTGACATTTCCTTTGAAGATGTGTTTTAAAAAGATGGTTCAAATAATTAGTCTGCCTAGTATTACCTTAAATTAAAGGGAAATTTGGATTAGTAACAAATTTTGAATCCTTAAATTGAATGCTAGCCTAGTTTTCATAAATTTTATAATTCCAACTAAATTTATTATGCTCTCACAACAAAATAAAATGCATTTTGGAAGGGGAATTGTTATTGGCACTCAAAAAATCTCATTTTACACTTCAATTTTTCTATAATTAGTAGGAAAATTACACTTGTGAGGTGAGGAGTGTAGAATGAGATTTTTGGAGTGCTAATAATAGTTCTTTTTGGAAGAATTCAAATTCATTATTTCTTTCCTTCACCATTTGTTTTCTTGATTCTTTTTCTTTAATTTGCTCTTCGTTTTTCCTGGAATTTTTTTTTCTTGTATCAAACTATCCACTGATTTGGTTGGTCAATTAAACTACCCATGGATTGATTCTTGAGAAAACGAGTGAAAAATTAAATTCTTGAAAGTTTCATCAAATTCATTCAATAATAGCAGATTGGTGTGTTATAGAAATGAGATGACTTTACATATTCTTTCATCCCTTTTTTTTTTTTTTTTTTTTTTTTCTTTTGGGAGTTTTAAAGAAACATTTTCGGTATTGTTCACTTTTAACGTAAATGATATTTTTACTCTAAAAAATCACTCATGGTACTATTCACTTACAACACCTTTTTGTCATTTTGATTAAAACTCAAAATTTTCGAGCCCTTTTTGTTAGTTTTCAATTTTATTTTTTTGTTAAAAAAAAAAAAAATTGAGCATTTCTTTCAAAGAAAAGAAAAGACAAGTCTCTAAACAAAACACTAGACTCAACATAGAGGTATCATCATTCTACTTTCCTTCACTAACCACCAGGCAGCGTCTTGATAATATCCGAATCACCTGCATCAATGATGCTAAGACAAGACACCAACAAGTACTTTCCACATGTTGTCCTAAGCTCAACATTGTTTCCATTGTAGTGGTGAACGCCAACCTTAGCGAGCATAGCATAGTACTCGATTTTAGATTTCCGCAAAAGTGGGCAATTGTTGGAAATGATAGTTAGCTTCCCTTTGGAGTTGCAACGGGCATCGATGACGGTCTTGTAGCAAAGAGTGTACTTGCCACTCTTCGTGACGGGAGTGAGCCTAGTGTTGATGCTCTCATGGGTCTTCTTTGTCTTTGGGGCCACCATTTTCGATGATTGAAGGTTTTTTATTGCTTCCCTCTCTCCCTATGCCTGAAAAGAAGACGCAATGAAGAGAAGATAGAAATAATTAGTATTACTAAGCGCAACTAAGACTTTTTATCTTAGTTTTTTATTAGAATTATAAGAGTTTAAAAAATTTGGCTAAAATTCATTTTGTGATTAAATTTCCCTAAATTAAATATAATTTACTAAAAAAGAACAAGAGTCAAATACCAAGATGAAGGCTCAATTTCTCGTTTTTTTTAAAAATGGGCAGTGCTCCACAACAATACGGTAGAGTCCAAGCATTTGTTAAAAACATACTAGGCAGCTTTGGCTTGTCCTCATTTCTTCATAGACAACGATATGATGAACCGATAATTAACACTTGGTCAAAGCAGTCAAACACTAATCCTCGTTGGTAATCATTCTTTATGAAACCTTCTTTTCTCTTTCGATATGATAAGCCACTTAATATTGCGACCTAGTATTATTTTTCTTTATTGGTAAATGAATGGTCGTAGGTTCGATTCTCATCAAAAGCGATTTTAAATCATATTATTGCTAGCTAATTATGAAGTTAAACTCACTCATTTTTTAAGTAGATAATATCGTTTGTTTAAAAAATAAAAAAAAAATCATTCAACCTGATCTCCCACCGTAGGTCCCCCCACCACCCTCCGCTAGCGCCACGTGGCGCGAATCCCCCGCTTCGATCAGTCTATTTTATCCCCCAAAAAATAAATAATAATAATAATAAAAAAGACAAATTAACTAAAAAGCTTTGGGGACCGAGAGGAGGAGGAGTTCCCCATTAAAAGCTTCGTCACCTTACGCTTTCCAATTCTCTCTCTCTCTTCTCTCTCTCTCTGATCAGGCGCTTTATCCCTCGAAGCTTTTCTCCCAGTAAAAGCCCTGGAAATTTCCAAAAGCTCGATTGAATTCAGGTAAGATCAGCTGGAAACCAGTTTCTTGTTCCAAGAGATTCCCCTTTTTTGTGGTTTGATTTTTCGTACTTTGATTTCTGAATTGTGATTGCGTTGCATGTGTGTGATTGTGTATGTATCGGTCTGTATCTATCTGTCTCTGTAATTGGGGCGATTTGTCTAGGGTTTTGCTTTGGTAATTTCATGTGATCATGGAACAAAATTTCATTTTCTGATTGTGATCGATTCGGTGATGTAAATTGATCAAACCATAACCTAATGCTGTGTTTGGTTGAAGAGAAAACCGCTCTGAGTTTCTCTGTGGTTTCGAGTAGCGGGAATTTTTTGAGAATTTAAAACTCGAATTGGTTTTGGTTTACTCCCATGCCATATTTTGAATCCTCTTTTGGTAAATGCTTTTTGTTTCTCTGATTGGACCCAAATTTCAATTTTCATCCCATATAGATTATTCTGTACAAGCATTTGAGGAATATGTGATTTTTCGCGGCATTCTTGTGAACGGAGCAATCAAAACAATCCTAGTATTGAATAATATTTTATTTGGTGTCGCGGTGCTAAGCATTTATTCATGTTTGATGTGTGTAAAAAAACAAAAAAACTAGTTAGTACAGCGGGATGTTTCAGTCGGTGTCTTCTTTTGGTTCTTTGATTTTGTTGATTTTTGGGAAGGCTGGAGAAATAGATACTACTTAAATATTCCAATTCAGTATGATTCTGACATGTTAAATTGGGTTGGAATTCAGTGTAATCTTCAGCAAGTACCATTTTGAAACGGATAATTCAAGATTTTTTTTGTTTTGAAGTGTCAACGAAGGTGTAGCTTGCCATTTTAGTTATTTGTTAAATGTCTCTCTCTCTCTCTTTGAAGTACATATTATAAGGTATTTGATACCATACGAATGCCTGGGCCCTTTTACTTAATTGCTATTATTGTTAAAGCTTATAGTTTTGAACCAATAAGCTTGAAGAGCTAGTTCAAGTCCTTTCTTTTGTCATCAGGTTGGTGCATCACATTTATATGTATACGATATATCTAAATCTGAAGTGAAGAATCCATCAGTCTCGAAGTTCACTGGTCATTTGTGGCATTTGTTTTACTAACAAGAAAGATTCGTTTATAAGTTTAAAAATCAATCAGCGTAGCTTTCTTACACAAGAATCTTCCAACTGGAACCTTGCAATATGTCGAGTGGATCCGTTAGACGGGTCTCACGTGAAGATATACAACTGGTAAGTTGTTCAACTAGATTTTTGTTGATGACCTATATCATTGATTATCCACTTATGCTTGTTTTTCTTTGTTTAAAAATACAAAAAGAAAAAAATATAAACCATTTAAACTAGGCTATAGCAGTGGAACTTTGACCGTGAGATTTTTTCTGATGTAAAGTTGCAAAATGAAATAGGAAGATAACAACACAGTGCTTTGTTATAATACATCTTTTATTTTCTATTCCTTGTTCTTCCCCTAAGTGCCCAAGCATAATTTATCTTAGTTCTTCTGTGAAATGATTTATTGGGAAGTGAAATGTACGTAGTTGACATATTTTTTCAATTCTATTTGCAAAAAGTGCAAAGTAACCAAGTGAATTTTCATGACCTTTATAGTAGCTTTATATTGTTTCTATTGGTGTTTGGCAGAACTGAGCAGCAGGGTTGAGAGTAGTTTAGTGGAAGCGATAAACACATAAAACTGAAATTAAATGAATATTATAGAAAACTGGAATCTCTCCAGGGGCATCACACTCGTTCTTGGCTTCTCACCAAGACTTTTGGCATCTCACTAAAGTAATCCCATCGTAATCCCGTTGCAGGATTAGATCCAATCTCTGGAAAACAAAACTTTTCTATATATCAACTCTTCATCATTCTAAAGGTCGGGAATTAGAAGGATATTTGTAATGACTTAAACATAATGAACACAGCAAAGTAGGCCTATTATAGGAAATAAATCCTAATCCAAAATAGAATACAAAACTAGGTCAACTCTAAAGTTTGACAATTTCTAGGATTTCAAAATACATTCAGTATCAAACCTTTCTTATAATAGCTCTATATTGTTTTCAATTCTTTTATTAAAAAGTAGGCATGACCTGCTAAATCAAGTTTTATCAATTTCTAGGATTTTGAAATACGTTCAGCACTGTTCTAAAAATCCCAGCCTAGTGCCGCCTAGGCCCCTCCTAGGCACTAGGCGGCTGGCCACCAACTTGATTAATGCCTAGGTGTTTGAAAATTAAGAAATGGCGCTTAGACCTGCTGAGGTAGCCACCTAGACGACCTAGCCCGCCCAGACCCGCCTTGCCTAGGTCGCAACTCACTTAGACAGAAAATAGATGACTTTCATTTTGCATTTTATTTTTTTCCAATAAATTGTAGAAGACTTGTTGCATACTTAAATGAACACACATTATATTCTTATTTCACATGTTTTCATTATGTTCCAATACTTCATAATCTATATGCATTCTATTTTGTAGTTTATGATGAAATTATATATATTTTAAGTCTAAGCAAACACTTATTTACATGAAATATGATAAATTTACTTAAATCCGCCAAGTCCACCTAGGCCCCGCCTAATCACCTAGGCGCTAGGCCCCAGCCCGTCATCCGACTAACGCTTAGCGTCTTTTAGAACCCTGGATATTCGAGAGTTAGATATAAGATTAATTATGAATGTTCTACCGTCAAAGCTAAGTGATGTTTAGTGCATTTAGATAAAAAAAAATTTGGTTAAATGAACTAGATAAAATCCACTTTTATCTACAATATCATATTTGACATGTATTCCCCACTTCTAACTAGCTCATCAAATCTGATATGGGACTACAAACTAGATGCTTTAAAATGCAAATCTTAGCATACTGCTAAGTGTGCAAAGTTTATATGCTTACGAAATTGAACAAGCCAAGTACTGCTTCTGTCATCTAATACATAAAATAATAACACAAGCCCAAGATAAGATTAAGATTAATTAGAGCACCAAACTAACCAGAAAAAGTTAAACTATTACAGGAATAAATGTGATGAAAAGATAAAATTATAATCTCAAGCAAAATTTTCATTATAAATTCATCCACTACTTTAGTGAATTAAAACAATAATGAAAGAATGGATCACTAATTAAGTTGACTAATGAGTTGGAGTCAAGGGAGGATAAAGCAACTAATGGCTACACGGTTGGTTTTTTCACTCAACTATATGTAGAAATTTCTATAATTTCTTTCTTTTTATTGTATCCCTTCATTCAAGTTTAACATGCAAAATGCTTGTTTATTTTCAGGTGCAAAACCTTATCGAGCGATGTCTCCAGCTTTACATGAACCAGAAGGAAGTGGTAGATACCTTACTGGATCAGGCAAAAATAGAGCCTGGTTTCACAGAACTTGGTAAGATGATATCCCGTACTATTCTATAGGCTTTCTTTCTTATTTTAGTTGTTTGTTATCCTCTTTATGTTTTCCTTTAATCTGAAATCCTTTTTCTTTGTCTCTTTCTGTTTGTTTCTCCCCTCGCTCACCAAACTGTTTATTTCATTCAGCAAACTGAACATTACACAAAGAATTGGTTTGCTCCTTTTTATGGCCCCTTAGGCATACCTTATTGTGCATGCCAGAATAGTTGTTCACTTGGGTATTTTTTCAGCAGTTTACTTTTGTACAGTGCTTGTATTCTTCTTGATGGGGCCATCAACTTCTATTGCCTTCTGCTATCATGGCCTCCATAAGCTACTAAGGCCACCATGCACCGTTATTGTCCCCACTTAACCACCTAGGCCCAACTCCATAGGTGGTATCAAGCCCAATGGACCTCAAATGTGGGGTTTTATCTCAAAAAGGCCTCGGTGCAATTAGATGTGGAACACCTATAATTAAACTTTAGATTATTGTTGTACTTCTCCGATGTCGGATTCCCTTCACATCCATCTTGGCTTGTATTGAGCCAACCTTTTACACCAACACCTACTGTTCTGAATTGGAAGTTATATCTTCTTGCTTACGGTGTTTCATTTTATTAGCCAGTCTGGTGGACTTTGATTTTGGGGTCGTGTATTAGCCATCATAGCTGCTGTAACTTGTAGATTTATTCTTTTTCTTCAGTGGTCAATGGTGATGAGAAACCTAACTTATAAGCCTTCAAATCTGAATTTGTTCTGCAGCAATTTAGAAATGATTAATTTCCTATGTAGGAAACTTTGTATCCTGAACTGTCCCATGTAATGAAATTTTTAGTTATATTGCAATGACTATGAAATGTTAAATCTCCAACATTAACTTATAAAAATATCTGCTCTGTCAATAATTAGGGAAATTTAGGGTCATGTTCTGTGTGTTTTTATGCTTATCTTGTCATTAATTCTGGCTGCACTTCCAGTTTGGCAGAAACTTGAGGAAGAGAATCGGGAATTCTTCAGGGCTTATTATTTAAGACTGATGGTGAAGCACCAAATAATAGAATATAACAACTTGCTTAAGCAACAGGTGGAGTTGATGAGTCAGTTACACTCAAGTAAAGTTGCTTCAATATCTAGTTCCAATGGATCTCAAATTTCATCAAGTAAGTTCTTCTCACTTTGATGGAAATTTTATGATGCTTAAGCTTTGGGCTTCTTTTGTATCCGTCCAAATGAAGCTTTATAGATTCATGTGGATTTTGATCTGTAAACGTATGTCATTTTGGTTATTTCACAATTCACGTTAATGGTATGCCACTGAAAATAAGCGATGTAATAGATGGGAAAAGAAGAAAGTGGTTAGGGGCTGATCAGTGTGATTTACTCTCTTTGAAATTATTTTTTGGATACTCTCTCCACCCCAACACCCCCCAACCCCCGCTGCCGCCTTCTCTTTGTCAGTCTGTCTTTTTTACCAGAAACAACTTTTCGATTAAGTTTTCATTTTGCATGGAGGAATAATAGTTGGCATTTAGAAATATATCACATCAAGATTACAGATTTTTCTTTTAAAATTACAGATTCACAGGACTAAGAGATCTGAACCCGTAACCTGATTTCGTGTCTCTGAAATTGTAGGGCCTCAGTATAAATAAATCAGCCATTTAAAAATACTTCTCTTGGTGTTACTTAACTTGTCAACAGTGATGCACACAAACTAAATACCAAGACATAACGACTGCTATTTGTCTCCTTAAATTCATCTGATCACATTTCATTTCAATTCTTATCCTTGCTTTTATATGTCATCCATGCTCTAACTGCGGGTATAACAGTAATAATTTGAAAAAAAAACCATGACAATGTCACAGTGCACCAAAACTCGACTTGCTACGCACCAGAGCAGGTAGGACCAGCGCTGAAGACAGAAAATATACACCACCAAGTTGCTTCCTGCCTACCTAATGCATTTACTAATGGTGGGTCGACATTGCACACTAGTATGCACAATGCTGTTAAAATGTCTGCTCATACCAATAGGATTGATGTCCAACCAAACATGCTTCCGAACCAGAGCTCCAACATAGGTCTGATGCAAGGAATGAATGGGGGAATTGTCAAATCAGAAGTTGGATATTCAGGCAGTTCATACATGTTTAGTGCTGATGGAAACATCCTGGAAACGCGGCCCGCTATTGGAGATGCTTCTGTTGCAGCATTCAATAGCGTAGAGTCGAACTCACAACCCCTAAATGAATCACTGCTTGATGCAGACTGTTCGTCATTTGGTTTTTTAGGTCAGATTCCTCGAAATTTCAGCCTGTCGGATCTGACAGCTGACTTTTCTCAGAGTTCAGGTGCTCTCTATCTCTCTGTCTCTAGAAATTGCTATCTAAACACTAAACATGAGGAGTCATTACACTCATGTTTATTATTTAATAATCCCTGTTCTAAATGTTTTAGACATACTGGAGAGCTATCCTAGATCACCCTTCTTGGCTACAGATAATGACAACTTTCTGGATTCTCGTGATAGAGAACATCAAGGTGAGGACTTGACGTATCTTTTCCTCATTACACTGCAAGGGGCTTTCTGATTTTGATCCGTCACTCTTACAGGAGACAATAACAGATTGGACACCATTTCAGAAGGTGTAAGTTATGAAGATTTTGGCAGTGAATAGTTATAACATTAAAATCCAAAAGTAAGTTACCCATTATATACCTTTTCTGTTATCCAATGTTTAACATAGCTTTGCTTCCTCCTACACATTTTACCTCTTATGTCAAATTGTTTGATGTTTCTCCATACATAGAAATTGAGTTTAACATTTATAAGATCTAATTATTGGATCTTCATTCTGTGGATACATTTGAAGTCCTTAGTTTCTCTGTCAGAGGCCACGATAACTTACTATATCAGTAGCTTCACCTTTGTACTGACGTGATTTAGAGTAAATGAATCTTATGACTTGTTCCGTAGCTGCTTTCTCGGAAAATCACATTTGAAGAAATGCAAATTTTGTTAGGGCAAGAGTTTTAGCCCAAATAATGCTGTTAAATTTACTAAAGGCACTGACTTTCGTCTTTGTGTTGTGTACAGGGAAATTTTCAAACCTAGGACAGAAGGGTTTGTACATACACCATTTAAGATTTTGGCTGGTGTGTAAAATTCACTGATGGTAGTGAGAATGACAGTTAGAGTGGTTCCGTACAACAAGTGGACAGCAACGCTGGACACCGCTGTGGAAGCCTTTTTTTTGTTATCTTGGATATTCTGCTAGCTGCAGGTTTTATTTTCAGTTGGTTTTGGAGGTATATTTATCGTAGAAATGTATGTCGTTTGTTCTAATGACAATGACGGTCGTGATGTGATGTTACAAAAAAGGAGGAAAAGGAAAACCAATGCTTCAGTTAGAATTGTTGACAGTTGTTAAAGAAATTTGGCTGTTTTGGTTGGTTGATCTAATGAAGAAATGTAGTTTTGTTTATCTTTTCTTGGTCTGGAAGAAATGTACGGATTTTTTTGTCAGACGGAAGAAATGTAGTCGAATATCAGATTTACCGAGACAAAAATCAGTGCGTAGGAGATTATTATTTGTACAAGTCTCACACACAATTTTCTTAAGTGGGCATATGATTACCAGATTTGTTGTGTTTAGAACGTGTCTTCTTTAAAAGAACGGATGTGTCAACGATCCATGTTTGCATTAATAACCATTTGGTTTTTAGTTTTCGTTTTTAGTTTTTAAAAAAATGAAAATAGAAAACCTGTTCAATGCTAGGTTTTGAAGTACTTATAGTTTTTGGTTTTTGAAAATAAAAACTACAACTAATTAGCAAACAAGATTTTTGTTTTCAATTTATATAAAAAATAAAAATAAAAAGAGGCATGCAGAGATTGAATGGTTCAACAACTGTTCCAGTTATGCCACTTCTAAAACTGTGTCTGAGATTCATATAAATAATCACGGCAGGCGGATATCATTATGCCAGTCATAACCCTTGGGCAACTAGAGAGGGCCGGTTTTAAGTGCATGGTCCTAGTCAGCAGTCAGACCATTTGCGTCCTCGATCCCCACAGAAATACGAATAAGGTCCTCTGATAGACCTCTGGCCTCACGCACTGCGGATGGTATGCTTGCATGAGACGTGAAGCAGGGCAGGCTTATAAGGGACTTCACACTCCCTGCAGACGCAGTCTACTCATAAAACACAGGCCACGGTAATCAATCTCTACAACTCACAAAACAGGAAAAGCCGATAGTTGAGAGCATATGCAGTGTCTAGAATGATCTAATGTTTTAAAATATATGATAGATTGATATCTGAAACGACAAAGTTACAAGCGCAGTTGAAACCACACCTGTTGCTTCTCAACATGCAATGCCATTGTCTTCATTCCTCGTAAACAGATCCAACAGTCAAATGGAGCTTAACCCAGAGCCTTCTGCACTTCGTAGGAAATATAACTGTTTCGCCAAGCTGTTAATAGTGGAAACAATTAGGAAGTCAGGTCTGGATATAAGACATACAACCAATGGTAAAGATAAGAGTAAGAAGCTTAACCTATAGCCTTTAACAGCTAAAACACCTGCCATGGCATCACTGTGTCCAGCAATAAACTTTGTGGCCGAGTGCATAACAATGTATGAAAGAATGATGGACGAACAAAAAATAATAACAATTCAAAAGGATTTGTAATTTGCAAAAGCTTGGAAGTCAGCAGGTTATTTTCTTTACTTGCTCCTAGATCCAGTGGCTGTGACAATACGGGAGACATTATACTGTTATCCACTAACACAATAGCACCATGTGCAGGAGCCATCTCTGCTATTTTCTGTCAAGGACATGAAATAAATTTGTCTTTAGAAAATAGCACCCTGGTGTACTCATCATAATTTTGTTAACTACAGAAACTAAATAAGATACAGAACTCAAAGATATTACCGGAAAAGATCAACAAACTTGATGATATCGAAGGAATGACAAAAATCACTTAACCGAAAGAAGTGAGCAACACTGTTATCTATTGCTTCCAAGATTCTAAAAGATATTAGGCGTTAGTCGGACGATAGACCAGGGCCTAGTGCCTAGTGTCTACTTTTACTTAAAAAATACATAATTGTATTGGGATATAAATCTAAATAGAATGACATATAAATTATATAGTATTAGGACACTGAAAACATGAGGAACAAACATATAATGAGTGTCCATCCAAGTATTTAACAAGTCTCCTATAATTTATTGAAAAAATAAAATGCAAAATGAAAGTTATCTATATTCTGTCTAAATGAGAGTCGCGGCCTAGGTGGGTCTAGGGGACCTAGGCGTCCTTTCTTAATTTTCAAAAGCCTAGGGATTAACTGGGGCGGTGGCCAGCTGCCTAGCGCCTAGGTGGGGCCTGAGCGGGGAGTTTTAGAACAGTGCTTGCTTCATCTATCAACAATATAACCCAGCATCAATGCAAAAGTAGTGTAAAGAGTCGGAACTAATTATTTATTGAACTTTGCATTTGGGTGGTCATGGCAACCCATGTGCCTTTCAAACTTTCTATTTAACCCACAGATTACTTTCCTTTAGTAGATAATTAAAACCATAATGTTACATAACCCTGCTGCTGTACCATAGAATCCCTGAATTACTCTAACATACTTGCCACTAGAAACATCTATACCTACAAATCAAAATTTTATGCAATATGCTACCCACTCAAGTTATATTATGCCTTTGTTGTTCACAGTATATTTCAATAGCTTTTCTAACTACTAAATGGCTAGCTTACATATCTCCTAACCATTTACAACTAATTTGGGTACTCTTATCTATAGATTGTAGAACATGGAACCTGGGTTGAAGTATACAAAGAAAGTTACAATTTGGTCTACTACGTCACTGGTGGGATCAATGAGCAACATAGCACAAAAAGTAAAAGAGTCAGGTACAAAAAGGAAAAATTAGAAGCCACCATACTGCATATTTGGCCATGAACTTTGATCTACAGAAAAGCAAGCACATAAACTATTGGAATGGAAAAACAGTATGAAGCTCTAAGTACTTTGATTAAATAGTACAGAAATTTGAAACACAATAAGAACAATAATTTTCATAAGGCAAAGACAACCGCACATCAACTTCTAAGGCAAAGACAAGTGCATATTGAACTTCTATATCAACTTCTAGTCAAATGACAAATATTTTATTGCTTCGCAAGATATTTTACATTACAACCTCAAAGGGTACTTCCGAGACCATCTTTAGCGAATGGAAATTCATTCCCAAATCATACCAGCAATCAAGCACTTATGAGCTTGTCTAATGCTAGTATATAAATATCTTACACGAATATCAGAAATGATTTGTCGAGGATTGGTAGGACTCTCCAGCCACACAAGCTTCGTCGAGGGGCCAATAGCAGATGAAACCTCATCTAAATTACTTGTGTTCACTCATCTGTGTGATAAAGCATTATAATTCAGAGTTCACTCAAACTGAATGAACATAAGAACAGAAAAAAATCATACTAACTTCACCACAACTCCAGTCTTTGGGATTATTTGTGATAGTAACGAATCGGAACCTCCATAAATGTCATCTCCAGCAACAATCTCCTCACCTAAAATGGCATCATTTCCAATTGACAATATTCAGATAGCTTCCAAGAAGTAAAATTTATTTGAGTACTCGTGTACAAAACTAACTTGCTCCGAGAAAGGACTTACAACAAACTGTAGTCCAGATCATGTGATGAATATAGGCAGATTGCAAGTTAAATTAGGACTCTCAATCCGGCCTAGCTAGCTCAAAGCTCAATACATCGCCCAAAACTTTGGGAGCTGCGCTTTATGAGTTCCATGTTCAGGGTGATTTTGGGCCGTATAAGGACTAGCCCTATTATGGGGCCCATCTGCTGATTTTATTTCAATCATCCGAACTGTCTGTATTCAGGTTTTTCCTTTGATTTTTTTCTTATATATATTTTATTTGTGTTTTCATATTTTCACTTAACATTTCAAAAGGCCTCAAAGCATCCCTTACATATTTAATTAGTTATCATGTTCCACTCACTAATCCGTGTTGTATCTGATGCATGTTGGGGCGTATTACGGGAGCAAGTGTTTAGCATCTTAACCGAGACTCTTACTCGAATCTAGTAACTAAACTAATCTGTACGGCATTATATGGTACTATAGTTGAAAATAACACCTGTTCCTACATGATGAGCAACAGCAGCCATTCCACTGGTGAAACAAAATGCTCAATCTGAGCTTCTCCACTATAATTTGTTTCGATTTAGTTATTAAGATTTTAGAAGCAATTCGATCTCTGTGAGACGATATCCGTGCTTATATGCTATACAATCATCCGATTCGTATACTTGTGACCACTAAAATTCAAGACTTAATGAGTTTAATTTTTGTTATCTAATTTTCGCAACAAATTGATAGAAGGATAAATGATGCTGCTAATTTCATAAAAGAAGACGAAGTATATACAATTACTCCAAGTATAACAAATGCATAATTAGTTCCACAATTGCCAGTTCAACCTTAGGAACCAGAAACAAATACAACTAAGAAAGACACTAAATGAGTCCCAGTTCAGCTCAAGGAGTCGGTGATCAAGACAATGAGGCATCAAACATTCTATGAATGGATTGTTGAGCCACTTCTGGTTGAAAAAAAATAGGAAAGTGAGAATTCTGAAGAAGAACTAAGACAAGAAGTGATGACTCAAAGCCAAACTAATACTGCAGAGTATTAGAAAATGAGGACAAAACTTTGTCTTCAAATGTTGAATAATGCAATCAACAGTTACCACTTCCAGAACACTTGTATTTCCAAGAGTGGACTTCATATTCAAATGAACCTTGTAATCGTAAGAAAGTAGGAAAATTGTTCAAGATAATGATACTTTGAAAATGGAAAAGTAAGACTTGAAAAAGCAGAAGCAGTTGGAAAAAGAGAATAAGCAATTGAAAAAACGAGAAGAACGAATTGAAGGAAAAGATTAATCAATTGGAACAGCAGAAGAATCATTTGGAAGAGAAGAATAATGAATTGTAAGAACATAATAAGGGATTGTAGAAGGAGAAGATGAACTGGAATGGAATCAGGAAAAGTTCTATAAGATGTGCGGAACCAATGCAATCTACAAAGAAAAAATTGATAAATTGAAAGAGAGACTAGAAGTCCTTAGACAATCTCCAGTGGAGTCTCTAAATAGGGACAATCATCATATAAAGTGATTATAAAACAACTATTAAGACAAAATGATTCTCCAATGAGTCGGAATGTGAGTCCTTAAAGTATAGGGACTCACCAGATACTTGGTATATGTACCCATACATAGGGATTGTATAGGGGCTAAAATGGTGAACCCATTGTACAATTTCATTGGAAAGGTGACCACCAAACCGAGTGCTATGCAACATGATTCCTACTTGCTGCTGACATGCGGCTAGAATTATGGTCGCCTACAGCAGCTGACGCCAGCTGTAGGCGTGGATCCCAGTCATATGGGTTGTCTTTTTATTTTTTATTTTTTATTTTTTTTTTTTTTAACCGTTTAAAATGGAGAGTTCAGATTGATTCTTTAAAAAAAAAAATTACCGTTAAATGATCAACTACTCCATTTAAATAATTGTTACTACTCTCTCTCATCTATTTCAAACACCATCTTTTCCATGTTCAAAGATCAACAAGTTGTGACTAAATTTTTTTTACTGTTGAAAGATCAACGGCTAGTTTTGATTAGTGTTTTTACTATTGAAAGATCACTCCAATTAAATAGCCGTCACTCTCATATTGTTCTCTCACCCCTAAAAATAACAAATCATTTAATCAAAACTTACCACAACTTCATCTTTTATGTTCAATTCACTCATTCTATATAATTTATTTTGCTTAGTTTGTTGATTTATTTTATTCATCAATGGCGGGTTCAAGTGAGGCTCAAATTTGCTTTATGTCGTGCTTTTATAGCCATTAGTGAAGATCCTATTATTGGGAATGACCAAGCCTTGATAAATTTTTGGGAACGCGTTTTCAAGGTATTCAATGAGATCATGGTCGGCAAAGGAGGAAAACGAAGTGGTAAAAGTCTTAAATCTTGATGGTATAATACAATCAATCCAAAGTGTACCAAATTCAACGAGTATGTCACGAATATACATCAAAGACCTAGAAGTGGGATAAGTGATTTCGATAAGGTGATATTTTTATTAAATTATATTTTTAATAGTTACTTGCACAAATTACTTGTTTCATTTTTTGTGAACTAACTTAAACTTTTTTTTTTTAAATCATGCATAGATAAATGATGAAAAAAAAAGTATCGTGAGAAGGTAAGCCATCATTTTCGCATGGATTATTGTTGGGAGATTACAGAAACTTTAGCAAAGTGGCCGAACAAAATGGTTCCCAATTCTCCCCATCTCAAGCGTTTCCATATATTGTCGGGGATGACGATGAATTAGAGACTGTTCTCAAAATCCAAAACCTCACAAAAAGGCTAAAGAACAAAAAAGAAAATCAAATGAGCTAGATGAGGGTAGCGAAGTAGCTAAATAAATGAGAGAATTCAGAAAATGTTTTGAGAAAAAGGTTGACTTAAAGACGATGTTGGCTGATACTTCTCATATGAGTCTAGATTCAAAGGTGTGGATTGCATACCCAAAAACAGAAATAAAAGAAAAATAGGCAGCTCGTGCTATAAACTTGATGATGACTACCACCCTGCACCACCACCATCTTAAATTATGTAATGATGTATTTCTTTTAAGCTAAGTATGAATTTAATGTTTTATTAGTTAGGTATTAAATCAATGTATTTCTTTTAAATAATAGTACACTAATGTCATCTTATCTTCCATTTTCCTTATATTTATATATGATTTTCAAATTCCAATAAAAGAAAAGGATATGATTCTGATTAACCCACATTCTTATCTTCCAATATGTTAATCAAATTGAGAAACCAAAAAACAAAGCAAGAAACCAAACGCTTTACTATTTGAACGTCCACAACTGTCCATTTTTCTAAATAAAAATAAAAAATAAAATCATGCATAGGTAAATTACTTGTTTCATTTCTCACGCATCGTTATCCTCCCTCCTTTTCTCGGGAAACAAACAAACAACCAAACTCAATTCAGATGCATTTACTAATTATTTTATTCATTTTAAATTACAAACACACCAACTATTTACTTAATCAACAAGATTTAACTAATAACATTACAATGATATTTCTAGTAACTTATTGAAAGCATAAAAAATTGATTTGCAAATTATTTAATTCTCCACTCCTCATCCGTTCTACAAGTGTTCAACTAGATCATTTAAAAGAGCAATGTGGCAAACTGGATATGTGATAGCGTTGTGACGATGCAAATATTCATAAATAGTTGAATGATCTTGTTCAATTTCAATTAGGGCACCATTCACGATATATTCATCATCAAGGCCATCTTCGTCACGCTCTTCCTCCACAATATTACTATGAGGAATAATACAAGCTTGCATAATTTCAAATATCATATTCAAATGTCATTTTCACCCAGGGCCCTTAACAATTGCAAAACGAGTCTGAATGATGTCGAATGCTCGCTCAACATCCTTTCAGAAAAACCTTTTTTTAGTAAATTTTTTCATTTTTTGTCAAAAATAACATATATGAATGCCACAATAAGCGGCAAGGCATGAAAATAAGTGTATTCTTCTTTTGCTCTTTTAGTGAATGAATGAGCCCTAGGCGTATGAACGATAATAAATTAGTCTCTTGTTTCATGGAAACATATTTTTTCTTTTCCTCAGTAGGTTGTGATTGATTGGATGATGGTGGTCCACTTCAGATAAATACCATCTGGAAGATAGTATTCTTGACTATATTCTTTTCCATTAACATAAAATAGAAGTATCCTTGACTATATTCTTTTCCGTTAACATAAAATAGAACCCTTGGAGCACGTCCCTCTAGTATATCATTAAATAAAGATGAAGAGTAAAGTACGTTGAGATCATTATGTAAACTTGACATTCCAAAGTTAGCATGCCATATCCAAGTATCGAATGATGCCATAACTTCGAGAATGATTGTTGCGCAACCATGGTGGCCGCCAGTGTATGCACCGTGGTGGGCCACAAGACAAATTTTCCACTCCCAATACATGCAATCTAAGCTTCTAAGCATGTCAGGAAACCTCGTCATTGTCCTTTCCCCAATAGCCTGTAAAGGGCAGCAGGCGTTAGTGTGCGGAGGTATTTAGGCCCGTTCCAATGCCTCTGGACCTGTGCTTTCTGCGATATTTAAATATTCGTAGTTTAGATCGGCGGGCGTCCCGTCCCCAAAGCTGGTGGAGAGCAGCTGTGGACTTTACTTGTGGTGAGAACCCAAGTTTCCCCACTGCATCAGGTTTTTGATCAAAGAAATTGTCGAACTGAATGGCTCCTTCAAGGGTCATATTAAACAGTGATGGCCTCATGCGAAATCGTCTTCAAAAATGAACAGGTGGATACATAGGAGGGTTATCGAAATAATGACGTATAAGAAGTTCATTACCAGCTTCTTCGGCTTGATGATGTACCTCCATGTTTAGCATTTGTCACTGTCTTCCTCTAAAATCTTTGTCATTCCTCGTGCATAGCCGTCATCATCACCATAGCTTGGTTGTCATCGTTGGAGGATGAGCTATCATACCCTTGTTGTGCCATTGTAGTTTGGTGATTGGGAAGAGTAATTTGAGTGTTTAAAACATGTATGTAGAAAATGGCATAAATGTGAAAGAGAGAGACCTCACTTGTATTGTGAGAGGATAAAAAAATAGATAACAATCCAACATATGAGATTGAGATAAGAAAATCTAATCCAATGATTCCAAAGAGTTGAAATCTTATCTAGATCAGAAATAATTGATCATGACACAAGCATGACATAATCTAATAACGAAGCCATGGCATAGGCATGACGTAATCCAATAATGAAGACATTCTAATTATTTTTTTTAAGAAAAAATTTGGCATCAAAATATGAAATATTTTTTTTTTTTTTGGTCAAAATGTTCTCAAAATATTTTACGACAACATAATGTTAAATTAATAAAAAAAAGTTTAGCACCTAATCAAATTATCATATAAAACTATAAAATAAAATAAAAAATTTCTTAGGGAGACGAAGATTATCATATAAAACTATAAAATAAAATAAAAAAATTTCTTAGGGAGACGAAGATTCCATTTAAGTCTTTAAATGAGTACTCAAAAATAGTGGTAGGGACTCCCATTGGAAATACTCTAAAGGTAGAGGATAAAATGTCTTTGAATGACATGGTGAAGAAGTTGGAGCAAGAAATTTGTGAGCTGAACAAGACATGGGTTTTATCAATGGAGGTAGATTCTTTGCCCTCTCACTTCCCATGCCCTCCTCTTTGTCTAGTCACGGTTAAGCCATGTCAATATTTATTACTATTCCTTTTTGTCTTATTATTTCTATAAAAAAAATAATATAAAATGTTGATGTGACTTAACCGTAATCACACAAAACATCTGCCTCCTTTATCAATGATGTTGATCCTGAAAAGAAAAATGGATCTGAGGAACCTCTTCATCATGATAAAACTGATTATGCTTCTGATTCTAAAACCAAAAGTGAAAAGCTGGACTCAGCAAACAATAATATTTGGTTCGGATCAAGAGGCAGAGATTGAGTCTGAAAAAAATCTGCAGACTCTAGAAAAATGACCAACTGAGTCTCAAAATTGTTTAACCTCGAACTCTATCAATGGTCCGGAATATCCAGAAAAAATGTAGTTAATAATTGAAAACAATAAAAATGAAAATAAAAACAATATTTTAAACAAAAATAAAAACAATAAAAATAATGGTTAGTAATTTAATACATATATATATATATATATATATATATATATATATAAGAATAGTCAAGAACACTCAAATGTTAATTAATTAGTAATTTAACATGGCGCTAATCACTCATTTAGACCTGGTTTGGTACTGAGGTGATTCTGAAAAAAGCTGCTATCAAAAAAAGCTGGGAGCTGTTTTTGTGTTTGGTAAATACTCAGCTTCAGCTTTTTTTCACAGTTTTGGATGAAAAAAAGCCAAAAACAAGAAGCTGCAAAACCTAGCTTTGAAAAACCATCTTTTTTTCACATCTGTTTTACATAAAAGTTTACCAAACACTCTAATACTGCTTTTTTTTTTTTCAAAAGCACTTTTACAAAAAAGTTTACCAAACACTCTGCTGCTTTATTTCACAGCTACTTATTCTCACAGCACAGCAGAAGCAGCTTTTTTTCAAAGCACAGCAATACCAAACCAGCCCTTAGACTTGTTTCGCAACATTATAATCCAAACCGATTATTTTATCCCTGTAAAGCTTCATTGGAATCGGTAGATGTTTATTTCTCTAACTAGGAGTTTAGAAATAGACAAACACTGCATTGTCAGTAAATAATGAAATGTTCACAATAATGATTAAACGGCTAAAAGATTTTCCGATATAAGTAAATTTTTACAACGATAATCTATGAATGAAAAATTAAAAAAAAAAATGGTTCGAATTATAAAATTACTTTATGGAGTGGGTCGAAATGAGTGGTTAACACCAATTCAAATTACTAACTATTAAGCATTTAAGGGTTTCTGTAAGAATATGTAATATTTGTGACACACTCCGACTCGGAATGTCTACCTGGACTCTGAATAGAGCTGTGTTGGCCGACACCAGAAAGGTGATGAAGTCATAAAGTGTAGTGAGGTGAAAAATATGAGCAAATTTAAACTTGAAAGTGACTAATGCAAGAGTGCGTATGTGAACCGGATTGAACCCATTTCACACGTGATGTCAGAGCATAAGTAAAGTACAGTAAAAGTACAATAAGAATTATATCATTGGAAGTATTCTCCTATATCAATAATCACCAAGAATCCTCGTTGACACGAAAGCTTTGCCACTAAAACTTGGAGGGGTGAACAATAAGGGTGAGTAGGCCTAAAAATAAAGAAATATAAAACCTTTTCGAAAATGTAATAACCCATCACCGTAAAACAAGTATAGTTTCTAAAATAGCATACTATGTATAGTATGATAATACTTACAATAGTAATATCTTAAGAATGCAATACTTTACAATATTTCGTAAATAAACATATAACATCCGGTGCTCATCAACATATGCTGACATACGAGTGCATGCAGAGGTATTCTAACATGAACATGATTGGCTGCAATAATGATCTACTCTCTAGTACTACGATCACGTGAAGACTGGTGTTATGCGCATCACATACGAGTCCTAATTGCCTATAGCAATCTAGGACAAGACTGTCACCTACCAAGATCCAAGGTGAGTGTATTGGTGCGATGTGAACATACACGTGAAGGCTAGCCCTAGCCCCGGGTGAGTACAAACACCAGTGTAAGCAAGTATGATGAGTAGTAAGTATGATCATGCCATGGTAAATCAATAGTCCATATAATATTGCTCTTGACTATAAATATAATTAAGGTATCCCGCAATAATATGCATACATGTGCATCTCGTAAGATTTATAGTGATCTCAAAATTCTCATTATTACAACAGTTCTTATAACTTTAATTTAATTATGGCATCACGTGGAAAATGTATTATTAAATCTATATGGAAACTAAGTATAATACATATAATATTTAAAAGAAAAGACCCACTCACAATTACTTACGATATCACATCCATTCGAGCTAGGAAAGTCAGAGTCTCCGTTAGTAATCACACCTAAGCATAATATTAGAACCCATTAGTAAAACACAAATAAAATGTTCGAATTTGAAAAAACGGATGGTGGATACAAAATCAGCGTGTCGAAATATGCTAAGAATGGTCCCGGACAAATTTTGTAAAAAATCAACGGTCAACCCAAAAAAGTCAACCGAGACACCAAGCCAATAACAACGTTAAAACTTCAAAATTTCGCTAAAAAAATGCTAAAAATGGATTCAGGGCATTGAAATTAGTTTAGGAGAATTCCCGAAAGAATGTCAACGATAACAAAATTCTAGAGAATATTTTAGGAAAATATTCCAGAGAATATTCTAATTGAATCTGGGTCGGGTCAACGGATCAACGGGTTGATGTCAGATCTGGATTTGGATTTGGATTTTTTTGTTATCGGGTCGGGTCGACCCGATTTACCAGAAAACTCATAAGAAACTGGATAAACTCGTTGAATTTTTTGGGAAATTTTCAAATGGTCATATCTTTGTCATTTTTCATCCAAATTCAACCCATAATATATCAAAACGAAGCTAGAGAAGAATAGAACAAGATTATACCTATGTAGAAGCCAAATGGTGGCCTGTGATGCATGGAAAAAGCCTGCAAAATGTCGGAGGTTGCCAGAAACTGGAGAAAGTTCTAATAGTTATAACTTCTTCAATACTCAACAAAATTGGGTGATTCAAAAGTGAAAATCATGCCTCTCGATGAGAGGAAAATAATGGTACCTTTCTCGACAACTAACTCGCCGTGGTTTGGCTAGAAAATAGCTGGAAAAGTTGCGGCCCGTTTGAGTTTCGATCTGAAAAGAATTTCGAGGCGAGGTTGGGTGTTCTAAGCACGTGAGGACAAGACAGCTCGTGGTGCTCTTGGTTTGGGCAGTGGTGGTTGGAAAATTTGTGCACCGTGTGTGCACAGTGACAAAGGGAGAAAGAGAGATGAAAGTGAGACTAAGAGAGAGGGAGAGGAGAGTTAAGTGGGATGTGGGCCTAATGAGCCACAAAAATCTCCAAAAATATTAAAAAATATATATATATAATAATTATAATATAAATAATAAGTAATAAAATAGGTAATGAGTAAACTATAGGAAATAGTAACCTTACAAAAGTATCTTCCAAATTCGTATTCCATAAACCTTCGTTCTCATTTTGAATTCAATTCCGTTTGCATCTACGTGTTTGTAGAAACAAGTACTACACGAATAAGGTAAAATAGTAGCTCATACGTGTCATAAAATAATGGTCAACGTAAGTCAACATCTTTGCCTCTTGGGGTACTGTGATCAATTCACACTTTTGGTATTAAAATATCGTAAAATCAACGACAAATCCTAACAATTTGTCACTTAATGGTACAATTTAGTAGTTTGAGAAAAGAAAAAAATACTACAATTTAGTGGTGGAATTATGGATGTTCCGACAAATCAAATCAAAACGAGGTTTCAAATTTATATTTCAAAATTTTTAATTCAAATCGAACCTTCCAAAGCCAAAATTTTCTAAAATAATGAAAATAATTACTAAACAAGTTTCCACTCTTAAAAACACGAGAAACCAAAATGATTATTAAACAGCGCTTGTTAAATCAAGTGAAGTTTTGCAATCAGATTGAGTATCCCACACCCAAAAAAAAAAAAAAATTCTGTCATCCATTTTGTTTAATTTCTCTAGAGAATGATAAATATACACCCTTTTTAGCCTTCATACACTTCTATTTAAGCTCTAGAGAAGTTAAAACAGCATGAAAATCACCTACTCTCAAATGCCACATTACAATTAAATCATCTAAATAAGAGTAGAACTAGCAGTGTTAATTGAGACAGGACTACATAACTAAACAAAAGCTTTACAAGCAAAACAAATGTAGCTTGGGTCGTACCAAAAATCAAGTCTCCACTTGGATAACTCTTCTCCTTAAACCAATACAATATTTGGTTTCAGTTTTTCTTCTTGATTGTGGTAAAAAGCAGTCAAAATATTACCCTTAAACATTACAAACACTTGAAGCAACTCAGCCGCAAAACAGATTCTTGCTTCTACTCGCCAAAAGTGATTAACCCCAACCCACTCTTTACAACTCTTACCTTTGCTTTGACCTCATACTTTTCCTTGTGGATGCAGAAATCTTACTTTGTTCATCCTTCTCTTTCATGTTGCTTTTCTTGGCTTTCGATTTCGACGCTCCTGTGATACGTCAGCAGTTTAGAGCAAATGCACAGTACACAAGTAACGTTACAAAAAGCTGTGGTGCCTAAAGCCTTAAACTACCTCTTATGTTAGTTTTTGCTGATTGAACTTCGACATCACCTGGTTCTGATTCTGTCAACTCACTCGAAGCACCAGAATGTTCTTCTGACTCAGACGATACAGATTTTGAGACGTCATTCACATGCTCAGTCATCCCTTCGACACATGAATCAATGACTTCGCCGTCGGTTTCTACACCTAATACCCAAAAGGTTAACAGTAACTCAGAAGCATAACACATGCGTGAAACAAAATTCTTTAGTAAACACAAGCTCATGTAATGTTTCCACATTTGATTGGTTATAACAACTGGCCTCAGCATAAGTTGATTACACTAACCTTCGGTAATATCAGATTCTGAACTCGCGTCACCACCTTTCCCGGTATCCCCAAAACCTTCCATGCTGCTGATCTTCTGCTTATGAATTTCGGCATTTCTCGCTGTCACTTCTTGTTCCTTCTTTTCCAAGTGTAACTTATTCAGCTTATCCTCAAATTCCTCAATGCACGATTTAAGTTCTGGTTTTGCAAACTTCTTTGCCTGTTTCAGATTAGCTGTAAGAAAACAGAATACACATTTTGGCCTATATAAATTTGAAAAATTCTACAAGAGGGGATAAACGGATACCTTGTTTATTATGTTTCTAAAGTGGTCCATCACAGAATCCTCCGAGAGGACTTGTTTATACGTCTTGAATGACTCTATAAGCTTTTTCATTCCCTTTTCAGTGAATGCCAGCTGAGAGAGGCAATAAGAAATACATTCCCATTGTCTGATATCTGCAGAAATGGACTAGCTCAAGACCGATTCTAACTTGAATTATTTAAGAGATGGAAAACATCAGCATTAACCAATCTTGTTTTCTTAAGACAACATTAGGAACAAATTGACTCTGAAAATTCACAAACATGATTTAAGGCAGATAAAAAGCTTCTGTATCCCAGGCATGATGTTGCATTTAACAAACTGCATCAGCTAAACTAGGAAATAAATGATAATAGCCTTCGTGGATCACTTTTAACATGTGGAAATAAGACTCAAATAGACATGAACTTATAACAGTGTTCTCCCATTAACTCACAATAGATGATGAACCAATATGTAAGTAACAATGGCTCTGTTAAACAAAGCAAACTACTCAAAGGAGAAACCCCAAAAGCAAGTTCACAAATCACTATAGCAATAAACAGAAAACAACCGTCTCACCAAAAACACTCAATGAGGTCAATCTGAAAACTTGTAATGATCAGGTAACACTTTACTCTATGGTAAATGCTTAACCCAAATAAACGTCATTGGGACTCTTATGAATTGCATGACTGCCATAAATTCAGAATTGACAAAATAAAACATCTATCAAACCATAATATTTTTCAGAGACAACAGGAGAAAATTAAAGGAATTGTTACCTGTATCTCCACTAAACCTATTGCAAAGCTTTTCAACAAGGGCTTCCATTTGTTTGTCCTGAGTATGCAAATAACATAAGAGCTTAATAGGAAATGAATAATTGCTAAAGGAACCAAATTGAAATATATTGTACCTTCTTGATGGAACCAATTAAAAACTGCATGATGTTGCAAAAAGACTCTCTCTTCAAATTCTGGTTGGATAACTTTCCAAGTATATCTGGAAGCAAATTATATATCGGATTGCTCCCTGTAGGCATATTTGTGAAGAAAAAAGTTTAATTTCATTAAGAAGGAAGACTAGAAGAAAAATGATAGTACCAAAACAAAGTAACCGGATGGATACCAAAGTTTACCTTTCTTAGATAACTCATTAAAAAAAAGTTTAGCCAGATTTGAAATCCTCTCATCCTCATCTTCTAGTCGTATAGCCATTTCATTTATGTAACCTTTAACCTGAACACACAATAAACATAATTAGAGGCCCCGTATCATAACAAAATAAAAGGGAACAAGCAGCATTTCCCAGCCTCTCAAACCTTCATCATGTCATTTAGTATAAGGTGTGAGAGCACCAGAACAGCATTCTTCCTAACCGAAGCTGAAGCGTCCTTTAACCTGGAATACATATTCTCTGTCCATGGTTCTAGCAGATTGGGGAACCGAACTGCCAAGTCTCCAAGACTAATAGTACAATTAGAACGAACGATTTCTGATGGTGCACTCTCCACAACTGTAAAGAGAAGCTGGAGATTGGCATCACTGCAAGTTACACAGAAAGTCAGTGACCATGTTCAAATGTTCTAAATACATGCTTGCACACATACGGAGAGATAGAGACAGAGAGACAGATCTCACCAGAAACTTGCATCAATAATCATAAACCGACATAAAGCAAGCATTGCAGACACTTGTAGCTCCGGGTACTGAAAGGATATGGTAGTCAGTCAATCTACTCAATTAGTTTTTAATAATTTTTCTGTTGATATATCAGGGTACACACATACATTACTATTGTAACTTTATGCATGACATCACTCCTAAGTTTTTGGAATTCAAATATAACATAATATATATATATATGTATATATGATTTAATATGTTCAATCACCTCAAGAAAGGTCTAGAAGCTAATTCCACCTTTTTATTTTTCTCTTTTTGGGTGGGAAGGCTGTTGACCGAATTATAAAGGATTTCATCACTCAAATTAGGGAAATTACCTTCTGCATCAAACTGAAATTTCTACAAAGTTTTGACAAGAATGGTGCACAGTGTCCTATCAAGTTCTTTTCAGTGGAACCGCCACCAACTATTTCTTTTTCTGCCTTTTCAGAGAGTGTATCAAGTACTGCATCTTCAGAGGCTGCAAGGCCAAGCTCAGCATTGATACCATTTTCCTGCATCATAGCATTACAGAAGAAAAATATTACAATATATTTAAAGTTTTAAACACAGATCAATTAGTAAACATACGGAAAGATTTATAATAAACTACCCGATGTCATTGACGGTTACTTATCTAATATCCAATCTCACCTTTGGGGTGTTGTTAGCATTCTGGTCAGAATCCATCTTCTCTTTCCAAATTTTTTGTTTCTGAACCTTCTTAAGGCAGGATTCAATATATACCAGTTGGTTCATGGCAACATGGCTTACGACAAAGAGATATCTACTAAGTTTTCCGACCTGAACAGTGGTAAGCATGCCAGTACTAACACTAGTGATTTGATCCTGCAACTCCTCACCTCCACTAAAATCAAAAACAGAACTCAGGGATTTTTTCACTAGATTGGAAGCTAAAGTTTCCGGGGTTGGATGAATTGCATATATAGCAGCTATGGCTTTATCAGCAGCAGCATACCATATGTTTGCTGGAAGCCCAAACCCAGTAACCAAACTCTCTAAAATACCAAAAACCCGCCGTCCATTATTAGACAACAATTTTTTCCTATCTTCCACGGACAATCTCTGAAGAGCAATACACGCTGTCCTAGCAAGCAGAGGTTCCATTTTAGCCCAACGACCAAACCCAATATCAATAATATCCTGTAAATGAGAGCCAAGAACTGCGGTGGATGATTTTGCAGCCATGCAAACGACGGACAACGCACCACGGCTTTGCTCTGCAGTAGTTCCACTTATGTTGAAGCAAAAGAAATCCCATAAGGCTGATATCTGCAAAAACAAACATCTTGTAACTGTGGTAACTGTGGTAATCACAATCAGATTCAACTTTATATGCTTGCTTTTTTAGACTTATACGGGCAGGGAAAATGTAGCTGAACCAATCATGATATCAAGCATACTACAAACTGTTTATAGAAACCCACATGGTGAGGGGGAAAGGAAACCTCATCTCTCAACTCTCAACTTTAAACCGATAAATTAAGATCCATAGTTGAGTCCATTTTGGCAACCTGATCTTTGCATGCAAAATATGAAATATGTTCCATTGACTCACAAAATTAGGAGCTTTCAACAAACTTAAACAAAAGACTACAGTGAGTCGAAAGATGGACTTACCACACCAGTGGATATATCACCTTTGGACACCAAGGCAGAAACTATAAACTCAAGAGCAGCTAGATCGCCAATATTTGATTCTACCGCAAGATTCATAAGATTCTTGGCTGTTTCTACTGGGTTTTTCTTTATGTAAATTGTGATGAAGGCATTTTCAACAGCTTCATAGATGGATTTGTCCTGAGAAAATACCTACAAGAGCCGAGACACATTTAGCTCATGTACTAGTCAACAATGAAATCCAGAGTTATTACTCAAGATTGAACAGATAGGAAAAGTTTTGACCCAAATGAAACATTGCATCGTTAGTTTTAGAGCATGAAGGAAACGAAAAACATACCAGTGGCAACATCTTATGAAGACATGCCTCTGAGGCATCAATTTGAAACTGTTTGCACCTCATCAGCAAATTTATTGTATTCTCAACATCAGTGACAGAAGATGATGCCATCAATTGAACAAGTGTTGGGATTGTGGCAGATATACCCTTTGAAAATCTTAACCCAGCCTCAAGTGATGCTACCAAGGCCCTGGTCTGCTCTAAGTTACCTACATCCGGCACAGAGCCATCCTTTTGAACTATATTTTCTTCCATATGAGGCAAGCAACTATCAGATAAACTCTCCTGCTGCACCTTATTCACACCTGCATTTGCATCATCAACCTCACTATCCGCAGAGGTATTATCATCAGATGGCACCCTATTCTTATCACCTTCTGAAGAGGTATCTGGATCAAGCTCTTTCAGCTTTTTCTTGTACTGATGTAAGGTTGCTTCAAAGGAAGCTATTCGAAGTTGTGGGCCGAATGGGTTATGTTGCAACATCATGATAAGTAGATTTAGAGCAGATTTTCTAACCATTGCACTCTTATCCTCCAACCTCCCGGCAGCAACTTCTGCAAGCTCATTCCACAAGCCAATTGAAACAGAATGTTCCTCGCATAGTTCAGCCCAAACCTGAAGAACACGACTCCTTGTATATGCTGAAACATCTCGACACCGCTCAAGCAAAATATCCAACATGGCTTGCTTGGTTCTAAGACGAACACATTTAGAACTTACTTCACCTTCAACATCCTTAAAAGCCTTTGCAACCAGCTTTCCCAAGACACCAGCAAGAGCATTCCTTATCTTATAAGATTCCCCACCAAAATGTGGGACAAGAAGGCCAATGTTGGTAGACACCAGTTTAGGCAGCCGATCAGAAAGTTCCACCAAAAACCGACCAACATTTTCAGCCCCAACAGTATCCTTGATGTAATCTTTTGGATTTGTCCTCCCTATCTCTCTGATAAGAGAGCTGGCTAGACTTCCGTCAGCATACTTCTTCTCAGCCCTAGCCACTGCATCGGCAATGTGGGTAGCAGCAAAATCATATTTGTGAAGTAGATGCATGATTGATGCACATGATTGTGCCATGTACTGGTATTTCGTTGCACAAGCCCCAATTATACGGCACAGAGCATCTTTTGTGTCAGAGTCTTTTAAAAGTGTGCCGTTCTCAAACAGCAAAAATGCATTTCTACAAGACCACAAATCAGAAAAGATCAGTTTATAGTTAATACTAAAGAAAAGAGATAAACTGAACCTGATTGAATTGTAGTAGTAATCCAACTTACTTGGCAATGAAAGAAATATAATTTTCTTCCAGGCCTGATGAGCCAAAGAGCAAGGAAAGCTTGATCTCTAATGAATTAGCAATCAAATTAAGTATGCGACCTCTTTGTGGCTCCCAATTCCATGTGTTTTTAGGATGCTTCTTCCTGGTACTAGCTGTCACCTAAATCCGAGCACAAGGTTTCAGAATACTGTTGGGCGAAAAACTGGTACTATCACACCCACTGTAATTACAAAGATACATATCTATAACATTTTAATTTTATGTATGCATAACATACAGAGAAATGTAACACCTTCACATTGTTGTTGGAAGTGATGTTGGACTCCTCACTGAGAACAACAGTAAGGAGAAAGAACGTGTAGATTTTAAAAGCATTGCGATGTGATGCAACCCGATCTGGCATTTGAGTGACATCATCCTGGCCTTGAGAAACCCGCGAGAGTGAATCAACATTTGGGAGGAGAACACTGAGATTGGACCGAAGACTCTCTAGAAGATTAACTTTACAAGATGGGGGTAGAATATTGTAACCCCGAATCAGTGAGTACACACGGTCGAACACATCTTGCTCTTCAATACAAAATAGCTCTTTATCAGAGAGATCAAAAGATGTGCCTGTTGGTACCAAAAACAAAAGACAAATTAAAAAATTGCGACTAACAGATGAATTTCAAAAGCCGAGGATGCCAGAAGTTTAATATTTTCGTATTCAATTGTTCTTGTAATTACAGTATTCATTTCATATAAATACTTGTTGGGATCAAAATATGCACATTTTCAGTCCTACTTCCCTATTGCACTTAAAGTTTAGAACAATAAATAAAAGAAAGAAAAAAAAAAAGCTAATAGAAACAAAATTCAAATCCCGTAAGACGATACACAGAATGATTTTTTTTTTCTTAAAAATCAAGAGAAAATATATGTGCTCGAAAAATAAATCAGCTCATGAACACAGAATTCAGCTAAAATCCATTGCCCCTTTTTTTTTGTCAAACGGTAAATTTTGTTAGTTTAGATGCTAAAATCCATTACCGTTGGCTCAACATTCTTAAACACAGTTTAGATTTTTACAATTTCTGCCATTTTAATAATACCAATCGCCACCAAAGCTAAATTTTTAGTTTTTCTAGGGTTTCCATAACAGTAAAGTCAACCTCTACGCCAATGAGGCAAACAAATGCTAAATATTCGAACTTAACTGAACCGGAGAAGTGTAGGGGAGGAATCACCTTCTTGTGCATTTCAATTTAGGATTTGGCTACAGTACTTAGATGTATTCAACAGTGAAATAGTATAATTTGGAACTCGGAATTTTTCTTTTACTGTAGATTTAGTGAATTTTCTCGGGAACCAAACAGAGCGTTGGAATTGGAAAATGCTATGGATTTAGTTGAATTTCGTGAGAGAGGGTGAGGAAGGGAGGTACCTTTGACGAACTCTTCGAGTTCGGAGGGACGAAGAGCGGCGATGTCTATCGGGTTCTGGGCGCGGATACGGTTGTCTTCCTGTTCTTCTTCCAAGGCTCTCAGGCTCGGGGGGAACACAAAGACGGAAGCCATTTCACCACATTCACTGGTTCACAGATTCACAGAGAGAGAGAGAGAGAGAGAGAGAGAGAGAGAGAGAGGTTGTCTGCTTTTTTGCTATTTTCATTTCTCCCCGTACAGATTTGAAATGTGAAACTTGAAATTTTTGAACGAGCGGGAACTATGACCTTTCGATTTGCCGGGCCACAACGGATGGATGCAGAGTTTTGATCCGAGCCCACAAAGAGAGAGACCCAGCCCAAACCAACTGGTCCAATAATTAATTAAAGACTTATATGTCACAATGGTCCCTGTGTTTTAATCTTTGGGTTAATTTGGTCCTCTTATTTTTAATTTGGACTATTTGATTCTCGTATTTATCTTTGTTGGTCAATTAAGGACATTTCATCCAATCTCTATTAAAAAAATTATAAATTATTATAAACTTATGTACAATTTTATCTATTTGATTTAAAAATGAAATAAAATTAAAAATTAAAAGACAAATTACTCTCCTTCCTAACGTTCTATCCTCTCCTAATTCCTCCTTTCTTTCCTATATCACACCTTAATAATTTTTCAGATTGAAAGTTTTATGTGTTATTTCTCATTGATTTGCATTTTTCTGTAAATTTGAATTTAAATAAGGAGAAAGGGTAATGTATGGCTCGCAATCATAGTCTGTTTCTCAATTTCAAGGACAAAATAGAAGCCAAGGTGGGTTGGGTTTTTTTTTTTTTTTCATTTTGAAATTATATTTCTTTATATTTTAATTGAAAATATTTTTTTGTAATAGGTTACCAAAATTTTTATAAATTTTAACTAAGGACGGATGAAATGTCCTTAATTGGTTATTTTTAACTAAGGTCGAATGAAATGTCCTTAATTGGTTAACAGAGATAAACACGAGAACTAAATTGGCCAAATTGAAAACACGGGAACTAAATTGGCCAAATGCCATATGTGACATCCCACATCGCCCAGGGGAGTGATCCTTAAATGTATATTCTCATCCCTACCTAGCACGAGGCCTTTTGGGAGCTCACTGGCTTCGGATTCTGTAGGAACTCCGAAGTTAAGCAAGAAGGGGGCTAGAGCAATCCCATGATGGGTGACCCACTGGAAAGTTGCTCGTGAGTTCCCAAAAATAAAACTGTGAGGGAATGGTAAGCCCAAAGCGGACAATATCGTGCTACGGTGGTGGAGCGAGCCCAGGAAGTGATCCGTCCCGGGCTGGGATGTGACAAATTGGTATCAGAGCCTAACACTGGTCGTGGTGTGCCAACGAGGACATCGGGCCCCTAAAGGGGGTGGATTGTGACATCCCACATCGCCCAGGGAGTGATCCTTAAACGTATATTCTCATCCCTACCTAGCACAAGGCCTTTTGGGAGCTCACTGGTTTCGGGTTCTGTAGGAACTCCGAAGTTAAGCGACAAGGGGGCTAGAGCAATCCTATGATGGGTGACCCACTGGCAAGTTGCTCGTGAGTTCCCAAAAATAAAACCGTGAGGGAATGGTAAGCCCAAAGCGGACAAATATCGTGCTACGGTGGTGGAGCGGGCCCGGGAAGTGATCCATCCCAGGCCGGGATGTGACACCATACACATGGACCGTTTTGACATTTAAGTCTTAATTAAAATAAGGATTAAGTACCTAAAAATTCCCCAACCTTTTAGTGCATTCAAAAATGGTCATAACGTTTTTTAAACATTCCAAACAAGTACCCAACTTATTGAAAATGTCACATCCATTAAGCCCCAATTAATTTTGGAAAATTGCCAAAAATGATCCATTTTCATAATCTTAGGACTGAAATAGGACAAACTGGCTATGCACACGTCATGTGCAACAATAGGACAAAAATAGGATGTTTCTAAAACTTACAATTACCAAATTGCCCTCCCATATAAATGGTTACCAGAAATTCCAACCCTCATTTCTCATTTTGTAGAAAGAGAAACATAGAGGGGGGAGAGAGGGAGAGAGAGAGAGAGAGAGAGAGAAACATCACTGACAAAAACACACCAACCTAGTTGCTAATCTTCAATGAGATGAATAACCTAGTTCCGGAAATGGCAGCAAACCGAGCTCTAACAGAAGAAGATTCATGGGTTCTTTCTGGCTTCTTCACCTCCAATTAGAAACTTGAAAATAATGGAGACCCAATTGAGATTATAGTAAATTGTAGCAATGGTCCCTTAACTTTAACTCAATTGGAGCAATGTTCCCTCAACTAAAAATTCATTAGCATCAGTCCCTCAACTCATCAAAATGTGCAACTATAGTCCCTCAACTTTAATCCAACTGAAGAAATGGTCCCCCAACTTTAACTCAATTGGAGCAATGGTCCCTTAACTTTAACTCAATTGTAGCAATAGTCTTTCTAACATAACTCATTTTGACAAAACTAGCAAAATTAACGAAAAGGATCATAACTACATGTTTTGATGAGTTGAGGGATCTCAATTGTAGCAATGGTCATTCCAACATAAACTGAATGATGACTTTGAGGTATGACTTGAATCGTTTCCTTAAAGTGTTACTTGCTCCCACTCGAACGAGTTTGCTAAAGGGTTCTTGGAAAATTTGTTCCAGGATACAACAAAGTATGAAATATTCGATTAACAAAACCGAATTATATTCTCTTAGAAATAATTAGAAAGAAATTGTATGAATGTGATGGAGAGTAAAGAGAGCAAGGAAATTGTGTAGATAACAAATTTCTGAATGAATCTTCTCTTCTACCAATGTTATTAATATATAGAGAGAATTGCATCTATTCAAGTTAATTGAAAGTACGTAACTTTTGGAGTCATATTGGTTCAAATAGGTCATGTCTATTTGAATATATACAAAGCATTATCCATAAGGCATTTCAATGGGTATACCTAATGGAGAGCACCAATTACCTAATGGTCATATTTGCTAGGAGAAGGAATACACTTGTTGACCATAAATCATGTCTTTTCGGGAAACATGAAAGAGATACAATGTTTAAATTTGAAGAGATATGATTGTTGGGCAATAACCCAACTCTATTCTTTGCCAATGCAAAACGCACGCATATATATATATATATATATATTGAAATATTCAACATGATATGCTCACAGATCTGAGCTAACCTAAAAATCTAGAGTTCATGGCTCTCTCTTCGAAGTAAGAAAAATGGCATCATCACCTGTGAGTTGGTACATTTTATAAGTGGGTATTTTTGTCATTTCACTTTTGCGGATGGTGTGCATGGCTTGTGCATGTTGTGCATGCCCGGTTTGTCCTATTTCAGCCCTAAGATTAAGAAAATAGGTTATTTTTGGCAATTAATATACATGTGACAACAATGGATCCCACTTTTTAGCTTAGTTGAACACTAAATTAACTTCAAAAAAGACATGAAGATAAAAAATAAGAATAAATAAATTCACAAATAAAATAGAAAACAAAAATGAAATGAAATCGGGAAATATCAAGCCCCCGCCATGTCCAAACTCAATTTACGACCACTGAAACCCCATCCCAATTTTTATATTCAAAATCCACCAACTGGGTATGTCATGCTCAACATTAATATTAATTGCTACAAAATTAATTTAAATTTCAAACATAGATTATACAACAAGGGCAATCTCCTAACAGAGAAAAGGGTTAAGAATTCAAATAGGGTTTCAAGCAGCTTGTTTCTATTCATGTAAGTTCTTCATTTGGCAATTCTTGGCCGGTAAAGCTTCCAGTTCTTCTTTGTGGGTAGTGAAGATGGTAGTGGCAGCATCATGGCAGTCCATACCATTTCAGCAACCTCCATGACTTTCTTCTCAATGTTAGTAGCGTGTAGTTGATGGTAGTGTGTTGCATTTGGAGGTGATGGCTTGATAGGATTGGTGGTGACTGTTAGTTGATGGAAGCTATTATGCTTCCATGACGTTCTATTGATTTTGGAGACAAAGTGAGCTCAAGTTAATCTAACAAAAATTTAACCAAGGCGTAACGGATGTGACATTTTCAATAGGTTGAGCATTTATTTGGATTGTTTCAAAAGGTTGAGACCAATTTAGATAATATTAAAAAGTTTAGAGGTTTTTGATACTTAATCCTAAAAATAATAAGAGTTTTTATGTTTTGCAAAGTCATTTCTTCACAACAAGTTTGATATGAAGGACTTAGGTATATATATTGCACTATGTTGTGCGAGCACGACTTGTTAGTGCTTGAACGGAATTTTAACTCAAATCCGCTGTATTGTTGGAGTTTTTTTAGTGGAAATTTCCTTTCATCTCATTTGTCCCACATTGATTAAGTTGTGAAGTTTCACACGTCTTATAACATCGAGTCCAACAAGTGATTTGAAAGATGGACTATTAAGAAGAAAATTGGGCTTGAGTCTTGAGTTTGGGCTTTTGCTTTTAATATTTATTTAGTTATCAAAAGATGGACATTGGTAGGGCTGGGTTCGGTTCTAATCGGTTCGGTTTTTTCTCAAAACCGAAACCGAACCGAAATTTCGGTTCGGTTCGGTTCGGTTCAATTTTTTTTCGGTTTTTTTCGGTTCGGTTTTTTTTCGGTTCGGTTTTTTTCGGTTCAGTTTCGGTTTTTTTTTCGGTTTTTTTTTTTTTTTTCTCCCTCCAAAATTATTTAAAAAAAAAATGGAATCTGGAGAAGTCTTATATTATATATATATGAATGCATGCATGCGGCCCCAGGAGAAGGCATATTATATATATTGGAATCTGCATATAGTGTACTTGGCACACTTTTATTATATTATATATATATATATATATATATATATATATATGAATGCATGCATGCGGCCCCAGGAGAAGGCATATTATATATATTGGAATCTGCATAAAGTGTACTTGGCACACTACGAAGGCTTCAAAGTTTGAGCACCAAGTTCAGCAAGCAGCATGCGTGATTTCAGTCACCAGCAACACAGGATTGCAAGGAAAGGCAGTCGGGATGCAAGGCAGCAAGCAATGCAGTGACGGTGCAATGGTTGTGCGGCGATGGTTCGATCCTATACATGTACATTTTATAGAAGAACCTGTAGAAGTAAAAGAAGTGCAGACTGTGCAGACGGCGTCGATGTGTGAGGTCGCAGCACTGCATCAGGTCACAGTGAAGAGTGAGAGTGCTGCT